ACCAAGTTTACTTCCCCCCCCCCCCCGGTCTGTTTTATGATAACAGTTTCTGTGAAGACTTTGCTTAGTATGGGATGGAGGCCTTTCACACCACCTGCTAGATTCCGGGGATTGAACTTGGGACCTCCCGCTGAAGGCTCTGAGATGTTTAAACCCTTCTCTTGTGGAAACCCGAAAAAGCTGTCAAGATGTAGTTTCAGTCACCCCTCCCTTTTCTTTACGCTGGAATTTTAAAGGGCTTAAGTTAAGTTGAGTTGAAGATTCTTGGGTTTTATTGCAGTTTATAAGTACAGAGTTCAGAGTCATCTTTAACTTTTTTCTTTTTTGAAGGTAAGCTGGTTCCCCCTCGTTCCAGCAGCTACAGCTACTCACCCATGGCTGCCACGGATGTTCTTGCCTCGGTCCCGCGTCAGGGCGATCCGGGGAAACCACCTGCTTGCTACCCCTTGCGGGGTGCCCGGATCAAGTCTCCTGCCTTGGGCTTCTCTTTGGGAAGCCCAAGGGAGCCCTCATGCCCCGCTAAAAGACCTGGCAATCCGGCCAAATCTCAGGAGTGCCCCAGGAGTCCAGCAGTCTCGCCGCCCCGCAACCGGTTCTTCATTTAAGCACTTGCTGTCTGCCTGATTCAACTGCCCATGAGCTTCATTGGATCAGTTTGGTGTAGTGGTTAAGTGCGCGGACTCTAATCTGGGAGAACCGGGTTTGATTCCCCACTCCTCCACTTGCACCTGGCTGGATGACCTTGGGCAAGCCGTAGTTCTGATAAGAGCTGTTTTTGAAAAAGAGCAGTTTCTGTCAAGAGCTCTCTCAGCCCTACCCACCTCACAGGGTGTCTGTTGTGGGGAGGGGAAGGGAAAGGAGTTTGTAAGCCGCTCTGAGACACCTTTGGGTAGTGAAGGGCGGGGTATAAATCCAATCCCTTCTTCTTCTTCTTCTTCTTTTGTGTTTGTCCTCATTAGGGGCGACATTTTACAGACATGATGTAACATTTTACAGACATGTAATAGTCTGATAGACCTGTTCACAAGTTACTGTGAACACAAATACAATCCGTGTACAGTGCACACTTGGTTTTTCTTTATATGTGCATTGAGCAATTCTCAATTCGATGCATTTTAGGATTACCAATCTCAAGAGAGCCCCTGGAGATCTCCTGAAATTACAACTGATTTTAAGACTATAGATCAGTTTCTTTGGAGAAAATGGCTGCTTTGGAGGATGGACTCTATGGCATTAAACTGTCCCTCCCCAAGCCCCACACTTCCCAGGGACCAGCCCCTAATCTCCAGGAATATTCATACCTGGAGCTGACAACCATAGCATGTACAGATGAGTGTGTGATTGAAACCCTACATTTATTAAGGTACTGGTTCCCAGTTTCATTTGTAAAGTGAGTGTTTGTTGGCCGTTTCTTATTACAAACAGATGTATACTTATAAGCAGGATGTATGTGCATTTACTGTAACTTGTGAACAGGGCTAGAGGGTCACTAGACCAAAGCAACCCATTGAGGCCCTTTATAGCCATGGGAACTGAACCAAGGTCTTGTAAGTCCAGCTTTGGCCACCAATGTGCTTTTTAGCCATAAGTAAACTCAGATCACTTTTGTGAAACTTTATTATCCATTTTAAGAGCTCAGCATTAAGAACCATAGTTATTTATAGTCACCTACAGTGGGGATAGGTAGCATGCATGGCTCCCTTTTGTGATGAAGGACTTTGGAATGAGACACAGATTATCTTGCAAAGGGAAATTATTCCTAGCAGGCTTGGGTACCAAGGAACTGCCTCATGTCCTACTTTAAGACTGTGACACAGCAAAAAGTCTCATTTGACTCAGAGGGACATGCACTTAATGTGGTTTTTTTTTGCTTGCAGCCGTCCTGGGATATGGTTTGTAGGCTGCTGAGAATCCTGTTTAAAGTCTGACGTTAATATATCACTTCACAGGAAAGTACTTCACAGATGCCAATGCCCAATAGCTTGGTCACTCTGAGTGACACAACATTTTGTCTGGGCAGCCAACAGACTTGGTAACGATGTGAAAGTCGCTGCTTTTATTTTGCAATCATAGAAGAACATGGTTTCTGTTGGCACATTCTGAGGGCTGGTCTTGCCATAATGGACAGTAAAGCGGTCACTTGGGTTTTGTGCAGTCTGTTTGTTTCACAGCCAACTTATGGCGACCTCAGTGTCTTCAAGGCAAAAGATTAACAGAGGTGCTTTGCCATTGCCTGCCTCTGCCATTTCCCCCCTCCGCATCTACATTTCTTTATAAAAAGAAGCGGATGAAGAGAGTCATTTTGATTGGACCTTTTGCTTCGGGTGCAATAAAGCCCAAGGTTAGCACTGATGAGGCCTGCAGTCAGGGTCAGCTAGAGGAGGCCTCTGTGCCAAATGTAGCCTCCTGAAAGATGCCACTCCCCCACCCCCATGCCACACTGGAGGTGAAAGAGGTGTAGGGAAAGTGCCATTTCTGGCAACAGATCTTGTTGGTAGATCACTTTTGAAGGGGGCAGCTGTGGTAGAGAATCATGACCTCACATTTCCTTTTCACTGGTGTAGCAGACTAACATTGGTGCTCTTAGAGAAATTGTCCCTTCTCAAAGTGACCCATCAAGAAAACTAGGACATTTGTTAGGGTGCATCTGTTACAGGAGCATACTCACTTGGTTTGCTGGCTGTAAGGGTTGGGTTCTACCCTAAAGTCTCATTGTAATATTATTGTAACACAGCCAAGTTCAGTAATAAAGTCTGTTTGTAATCTATATACAGTGGAGAAGCCTGGGAGTGTATTAACAGAGAGAGGGGTGACTAATTTTTTTTGCATTTTGCATTTGTGTGTGTGTGTGGGTGGGCACCCATGCCTGGAAGTCATGGCAACCTCTGGTGACTCCTACTGGGGCACAGAGGACATTCAGAGAGATGGCTTGATAGCCTGCCTCTGGCCTCCTGGCCCTGGTATTCTCTGGAGGTCTCCCATTCAAATACTTGCCAGGGTCGGCCCTGCTTAGCTTCCAAGATCTGACGAGATCGGGCTTGCCTGGGCTATCCAGGTCAGGGCAGGGATGACTAATTTATGTAAGAAAAGTATCTCAGAGACAAAAAGAGATTTGTGGGCTGCACTAGATGTGTAGGAAGAGACAATGATCCAGGAAGCTGGGTTGCCACTATGTCTGCAAACATAAGAATACCTACCTAGGAGCAGGGCTATTTTTGGGCAGGAACGGAGTTCCAGCTGGCTCCCGAGTTGGCCACGCCCAGCAGGAACTCATTAGCATAATAGGCCACACCCAACAGCAGAAACTCATAGGATTGGCTACATTAGGGGTGTGGCCTAACATGCAAAGGAGTTCCTGCTACAAAAAAGCCCTGGGTTTTGACAACAAACAAGGTAAACAGAATACTAATTTATGTAAGAAAAGTATCTCAGAGTCAAAAAGAGATTTTTGGGCTGCACTAGATATGTAGGAAGAGACAATGATCCAGGAAGCTTGGTTGCCACTATGTCTGCAAACATAAGACTACCTACCTAGGAGTAAGCCCTATTGAATAGAATGTCCCGGTCTTCTGAGTAAAAATGCATCAAATTGCACTGTAAGTAACTGCAAGGCAGGTAGTCTGCAAAAATTGATGGCACAATAAAATCGTTAAGTCTTTAAGATGCCATAAGACTCCATTTTAAGGTGCCATAAGACTCCATTTTTGCTCCAATATAAAATTTTTTACTTCATGAGGATCACAGCATCTGAAGAAGTGCGCTCTAGTCCATTAAAAATTATTCTGGAATAAAAACTTGTTAGTCTGAGACCACGAGACTGGCCTTGTTGAGTCACAGATTCCCTTAATACCTATCCCTCTATTGTCTTTTTATCCTGCCCTTCTACCAAAAAGAAAAAATCTTAAGAGTATCGTACATGGTTCTCCCATCCTCTGTTTTTCCTTACAACAACCCTGCAAGGTAGGTCAGGATGAAAGAGGGGGGTTGGCCATCACACAGGAAGCTTCATAATAGAGTGGGCGAAGGTCTCCCTTAAAGCGCAACTGGCAAAAGTAGACTCTTGTTTGCGCTGGAATAAAACCTGGCTTATCTTTAAGGTTCCACTAAACCTATTTAGTTTTGCTGCAGCAGACTCACACGGCTACCTTTCTTGAATTATTACCAGTGAAAGCCTTATTTCCGAACCAATGTGCTAGAAAGGTGCAATCCTGTGTCCACGTTTATCTAGCTGTAAATCTAAATGAACTCAATGCGACTCATTCCCGACTTGTACATGCTTGGGCTGGGCTCGCGCTGCAAGCATGTTGGGGTGTGTGTGTGTATCCATCGGCGGTACGGGGTTAGTGTGCGATGGGGGGGGTAACAAAAGGACGCGCAAGGAGGGAAGAGAAAGGGCTATACCGAGCCACGCTGCGGTTGCCATGCCGACCACTCACACCTCTATTCGTTCCCCTCCTCCACCCCACGCAATTCCCGTTGCTATGGCATCCGCCCAGCCAATTAGAAGCCGCGTCGAGAGGCCAGCCGGTCGCGTAGGCGCAGACGAGGGAAGCAGTTTTGTCGTGCACTAAGGCGGAAGTGTGCCCCGTCGAGGTTGGGTCGCACCCGGAAGTGTGGGCTGAGCGAGGAGTGGGAAGGCGGGGAGGTGGTTGGGGAGGGGGGGGAGAGAAAGCGGCCTCGACAACTGGACTGTTACCCGGCGTCCGCTTGCACGCGATCCCGGGCGCGAGCGAAAGAGAGAGCGCGCGAGCGGAGGCAACGGCGTTGGCGGCTCTCGCGAGACTTGGGGTCAGTCAGGAGGCGGAGAGCAAAGCCGTTTCCCCTCCCCTCGCGGCATCCCCCCTCCTTCCTCTCTCTCACGCCTCCTCCCCCTCCAGGAAGAGCCTGGGCCCAGCACGGGAAGATGGCGGCGGCCGGAGGCGGCGGCAGCAGCAGCGGCTGCGGCGGCTCCTGGGCAGCGGAAGGGCCCGAGGTGTGAGACCCCAGCGCAGGACCGGCGGGGACTGGCGGCCAGCGAGCGGCGGCGGAGGATGAGCTTGCTTTGCGCCCAGTATCTCCGGTGAGGAAGGGGGAGGAACGTTGGGAGTCGAGGAGGGGGCAGGAGGGGGGGGGGAATCGAAAGGCCTTGGGGAGGCTGGTGTGGGTGAGAGTCAGTGAGGGATGCTGGGCTACAGGAGCCCTCTAGAAGGGGGAGTACCAGGTGGTGAGGAAGGGGGTGGTGCTGGGATGGGATGGAGGAATGTGTTTTCTGACCGCGGACTTCTCCTACCCTATGTAATCCCGTCCTTTATATTTCCTGCTTGTCGTGAGACTAGAAAGTGAAAAGGCATACATTGCTTTAAAAAAACCACCTAATTTAGGTGCATTTAGAAACTGTTAGCAAGAATATCACAGCACTGGTTTAGAAACACCACCACCCTGCACGCACAATTTGGGTACCCAGGGTTTTTTTTTGGGGGGGGGGGGTTTCCCATGCATTCCATATATTTTAAAAAGGCACAATAAGGTAAGGTGAGAAAAGTGGAATGACTATTCAAACCTTTCTCCACCTAGCCCGTACACAGTTAAAGTGCATTTAATTTTAATACTGCCTGAAAATTAATAGACGCTGCTGTGAAAGCCCTGTGGACTGGGAGATGGTACGAATCTTAAAAGAGAAGCAAAATGCCTGGCAGGGGAGATGACCCTCTTTTCTTCAGCAAGGCTAGACTGCTATCTTGTGGTGGAGGAATTGCTGTAGTGCTATTCCTGAGAAAGGTGGCACGCTGAAATGTACGAACATGCAGAAGGGCGATGCTGCTTTATGGGCGATGCGATAAATAATAGTTGGATGAGCAAATGAGGAAACTGCATGGTAGAGAGGATTAGGCTGTTAGAGAAGAGGTGTTGGGAGCCCTAGATCACTGAAAGGTGCTGTGTAGAAGCAAATGGAAGACCAAGCATGACAACTTTTTTGTCATTCCATTTTAATTCACTTTTTCCCCTTGGCCTGGTTTCTGCAGTACTGGAAGGATGCGCTACTAAGGTGCTATGTTATTCTGTGTTACACTGCTAATGGCACCAGCATTGTATCTCAGATATCAAGCAAAACCTTTGATTCTCTGCATAAGGTGCCGCATTGTTGGTTTGTAAATTATAACAGTCATTCTGTTGGTAGCTGGTAAGTTGTTGCTGTTGTCTTAGTGTGTAGTACTAAATATATTTTGACACTAAAGTGGTTTTTAGGGAGAAGAGAGGAAATAATCCAGGATGGATTTGTTGCTATAAGGTATGCATACTGCAAATTTACTTGTACCTTTAAGTCTTGTAATAAGATAGCTGTGTGGGAAAAGAATAATGCCCCTTGTCAAGGATCTTCAATCCAGTATGTAAAATATTGCAGCATACAGACAAGTTCCAACCAGACTCCTTCCTTTTCTCCAGGCTTGAATTGTCATCTTCCTCTGATCTCTTTGAAATATCTTTCCTATGAATAAAACAACCTTGAGGAAAGCAATTTTGTTCCTTTTAGAGAAATATCTTGCTTCTTTTTACGTTCCCTATCTATAACTTGTTGCTTAAATCTGTCATTAACTGCCTGATTTACAGTGCAGTCCTGTGCAGAGTTACTGTAGTTCAAGCATGTTGAAATCAGTGGGTTTAGACTGGAATAATTCTGCATAAGATTGCACTGTTAAGAGAAATCCTTGACTGTGAATTGGCATTTTAACCTCTGCTTCTTTAACTCGGGTTCAGGCCCCCCTTGGGAAATTCAACAGTATTTTGGGGAAGGGTCTTTGTATCCTTTGACAGGACAGAGGGCAACCTCAGCCTGCAAGGAATGGAATCAGTAACTGAGCACTTCAGGGAAGGGGTGGAGTTGGCTTCTTCCTCTTCTAAGGGTAGCTTGTGAAGTTTCTGTCAATAGTAGGCCCCTAGATTCCAGATCATCTATGAGATGATTAGTGCTGGGATTCAGTTGCTTAGTCCTAGGAATTCTTATTGACTAACTGGCATTAAGGACGTATAGTCCCTAATACAGCCATCATAGATATTTCAGGTAAAGTTGAACTGGTTTTCATTCTACTTTCCAATCCAAAGTGTTTCATGGTAGTATCCAGTGGCAATTTCAATTGGATATCAGAAGTTTTATGTGACACTAGGCTTTTTCTGTGAGCAGCTCTAGAGACTCTTTCCTACTTCTGTTTATCCATGCTCTGGCTTGAAATTATTAACAACCAAGCAAGGGTCTGTTGTGCAAAGCCCTTCCAATTGAGGGGCAAGATTGATTCTTTCTTTCCTTGAAAACATTATTCCTGCCTTTATACCCGATAAGGGTCCCCAAGGCAGCACAGAAAAGAACATTAAAACATTTTGAGGAAAGAAAAACAGCCTTTAAAATTATGAAATAATTCAGTAATAACACCTAAAGCAAACAACACGAAAATCAGGGAGGAGGGCCAGTGAATATTATTGGGGGTATGCCAAACAAATCAGAGAAGTCTTCACCTGTTACAAAAGACACTGATAGGGGGAGACAGATGAATCTCCCTGGGGAGGGAGTTCCAAAGGTTGGGTGCTGTGATGAAGAAGGCCCTTTCTCAGGTTGCGACTGATCTATCCTCAGATGGTGGGGGCAACGAAAGCAGGGCCTCTGAGAATGACTGGAGTGAGTGGATAGGTTTGTATGGAAGAAAGTGGTTATTAAGATGTGTTGGTCCCAGGCCATGCAGGGCTTTAAAGGTCAATAGCAGCACCTTGAATTGAGTCTGGAAGCAACTTGGAAGCCAGTGTAGATGGAACAAGACTGGAATGATGTGTTGCCTATGACCCACTTCAGTCAAGCACTCTGGTAGCAGCATTCTGTACCAACTGCAGCTTCCAAACGGTAATTGCAATAATGCAGAGGTCCCCAATCTTTTTGAGCCTGTGGTCACCTCTGGAATTCTGGCACAGTGTGGTGGGCACAGCCACGAAATGGATGCCATAAAATGTCTGCTGCAGGAGGCAGCCACAAAAGGACCTCCACCGCTTACCTTCACTTATACAGTGAAGATATTTGTGCTGTGGTGGCAGCTCCTGCCAAAGCATCATTTTTAAAAGTCTGCATGGCCAATCAAATCTCCATTGGCCAGTCAGAAACCCTGCTGGGCAAAAGCCCCACCTAAAACATATTTGGCTGGCGCCAGAAATGGTGTCAGCGGGCACCATGTTTGGGACCTCTGCAGTAATCTAATCTAGATGTTACCAGAGTATGCACCACAATGGCAAGATCTTTCTGCCCAGGAAAGGGTGTAGCTGGCTCACCTGCCAAAGCTGATGAAAGGCACCCCTGTTTTAGCCAATAGGGGGTCTGGATCCAGGGGCACCTCCAAGCTATGCACCTCTTCCTTTAGGGAGTGCAACCCCATCCAGAACAGGAGATAACCCACTTCTTAGTTCTGACCTTCCCCCATCAGGGTTAAATTTCAACTTGTTAGCCCTCCAGAACTGCTTCCAGGCACCTGTCCATAGTTCCCACAGCATCGCTGGTTTCTGCTGGTAGTGTAAGAAAGAGTTAAGTGTCATCTGCATATTGGTGGCCACTGAGCCCAAATCTCTGGATGACCTCTCCTAGTGGCTTTACATATGTTGAAAAGCATGGGGGGGGGGGAACAAGATGGAACCTTGGGAACCCTGTAGGCCAGAGGCCAAGGGGAAGAGCAGCAGTCCCTCATCACCATACTCTGAAACCTACCCTTGAGGTAAGCCACTGAAGAGCAGTGCCTCTCAGTCCCAAAAGATGATCCAGAAGGATACAGTGATTGATAGTATTGAGAGATGCAGGAGACTGACAGGGTCAAACTTCCCCCATCCATCCCCTTCCCATGTCATCCACCAGTGTGACTAAGGCCATTTCAGTCCCATAACTTGGCCTGAAACCTGATTGGAATGGATCCAATCAATCTGCTTTATTCAGGAATTCCTGAAGTTGGCCAGCCATCACTCTTTCAATCACCTTGCTCAAGAATGGTATGTTTGAGACAATGCTCCTCGGTCTAGAGTAGGTTTGTTTTCCAGGACCCTTTGAGTTGTGGCCTACCAGATTCAGCTACCCTCCGAGAACTGACCTTGTTTCTACTTGGGCTATAATATAAACATTTTATACAAACTTGCTTTTGAAGTTTAGCTGTTGAGATTCTCACAGTATTGTTCTGAGGATGCTAGAGGATGGAGGCCTCTGTAGGGCAGGTGTAACTTGTTGCATACTTTCAAAAGAGGCTGTTTGAAAAGTGGTCGGTACCAGTGAGGAAAGAGAGAAGGAATTGGGAATCTGTGAAAAATGTTTAAATTAAAATGGGAGTCTCCATGTAGATGAAGCTCGAGACCCATTGACTTAAGCTTCATTGTGGATTTACGGATGAGCTTGCAATGCAGTCTGTATAATTAAGAGCACCTGGCCATGGATAACAACCTGATTCTCCATTTCAGAATTGGTTCATGCAAATACATTGCTCAGTAGCAACACAGAATAGGGGGTGAGACTTTATTGTCTTTTCTGTCTTTACTCCCCTTAGAGCACTTGCATTACCCCATATAGTCAACTTCTCAGACTTATAGAGCAATCCTGTGCCATGTGTGCGCCGCAGCGGCTGCCCACCTTATGTTCCCTAAGGACAGAAGTTATGTAGCGGCCAGCAGACAAACTCGGTGCATTTGCAGTATTTTCTGTTTGTCTGTGTTTGTCTATGCAGTATGTTCTGTGTGTCTATAGCAACCATGCTGTGGTGGTCAGTGGAGGCGGTGGCACTACGATGGACAGGGCTGCCAAAGCCAATCCGTGGCCATGTGGCAAGGGGATAGAGTCCAGCATTCTTCTCACGCAGGGGGCAGAGAGGGGTGGGCCACAGGAGTTCCGCTTGTTTTCAGGAGCATACTTCTCACCTGCTTAAAGGGACCAACACCTGTCAGCAGATCTGGGCACCTGATAGTGGGGAAGGGGTTTGAGCTGTCCAGTGCTGAGTGCACTCTCACACCACCTCTGCCAGCAGGAGAGGGGGCCACCGGGACAGGCTCAGGTATGGGGGCATGGAGCAGAGG